CTTTTTCCTCTTCAGGCCTTTCGGCTCCTTCGCTGTAGCGCTCGGAGTCTCAGTCTTTTTCGGGGTAGTCTGCGCCGATTTCTTCGGTGTCTTCTTCAATCGATCAATTTTTGTCAACGTTTGAACGGAAGATTTTTCTTCTTTCGTTCGTTTCGTTGCGTCGTCCTTCGTTTTCACTTTGCTCCTCTTCGAGGTCTCGTTATCTGGTTCTCGTTTCACCGGTTTCTTCCGGGCTGGTGACACGTGCACCTTGATCGTGGGTAAAGACGGCAAGCCGCTTGCGTTTTCTGGGTGTTCGAAAGTGTATCTGTTAAACGAAATTCGCGAGTTATTATATATGTATAAATTCCTGATTGCGATAGAATAACGATTCATAATCTTACGGAATATTGTTTCTATATGTAACAAACTCAACTTATCATCAACTTTTAAGAAATGCGTACCTATACACGGAGAGAAATCATAAGGGACTATAACCATACGAATATAGTTAAAGATTAATTCATAATACAACTATATTTTTTGTATATAATAGCGCGCGCGATCTCAAAATAAGTACATTAATCAGTCGATATGTGAAATGCAACTATACGATTATTTCTAAGTAGATATGGTCAGATGAAGCACATTATAAATTGCACAAATATAATGATATAGCTATATTAAGTCCTCGAAATAATTGCTGATTTTATAAATTAAAATATGTTCATGCCAGCTAAAATATCTTTTTAAGGCATAAATAAAATATTATGTATGTAGACATATATATATGCCTACTGCAGCTTTACAAGTAGGTATACAAGTTTCGAGTATACAAGTATAGTCAATTTAGCCAGATGTATTCATTAGTTTCTTTATTTCGGTCATGTAAAGCAGCCAACTTTTGTTTTTTCATGACAATACACCCGCTCACATTTTTGTAATTGAAGAAATTTAAGTGAATATATTGCCATGATGGAACCAAACGTTGGTTGCTTTAGGGCGTGTTCGGATTCCCACCCGGATGCTCCCCGAGTGTCATGTTATTCTTGTTTAATGTTCGATAAACAACAAGGATGGAGTGATATCTGAGTGACACTCAAGTGAGAATCTGAACTCAGCACTACACGATTAAAACAAAGAAACTAACGAACGCATCTATCTGAAATTTTAACAGTAGCAATGTGAAGAATCAAACTTGTCTAAAATTATAGCAGTTTGATATTTGTGGCGTTATTTCTGTGTCAGGCCGAGAACTTTTCGAACTACCCTCGTACTTCGAATAGAACGCGCCCAATCTGATTTAATATATGTAATATATGTTTATGCAATAATACACATAATAATATAATAATTCATAGAAACGATAAAAATGCCAGTTTGTTTTAAATGTCATAAATATTTCCTCACAATTGGAAATATGTGGAAGCATTATAAAATTATACATCAGCTTCATGCTAACAGTATGTTTCGTTGCGGCGAAAAAAATTGCATTCGCTCATTTAGTACCATTAAATCGTATCGACGACATTGGTTTTTAGTTCATGAAACTCAAGCACATCGAAAACATAATATTCCTTTGAATTTGGAAGAAAAAATAGATATTCCGTCATCTTCTCAGTTGAGTAAGATTCATCTAAACTATAAATATGTTTCAGCTATAAGCGAGCAAGTAGATTCGAATAAAACAACACTATTATATTCTGATTCCGTTTCTGTAACAAAAAAAATCCGTGATAGCATTCTTCAATTAATTGGAACTCTTTATAATATGCCCACTTTATCGAGAAGTAACGTACAATTAATCGTAGACGTACTTCAATCGTTTTTGACAGAAAACTTAAATTCTTTACAACTTTGTATTGAAGAGAAACTAAGATATCAATGTATGCTCTAACAATCTAACAGAAATATTAGACATCTTTAAATTATTTGGAAATGTTTTTGAAGGCGTTGAAACTGAATATCAGCGTTTTAAAACATTACAAGCAGAAGGTTATCTTCATTTGCCATTACAATACATCATTGGACAACGATTTCAACGAGATGTATTGAGTACAAATGGGCACATTACAATGAGTACCATAGAAGTAAAAGCACAATTTTTTTTTCCCGTTGAGAAAAATTCTTAAATCAATTTTTAAGTCTCCTGGCGTATACGATAAAGTTATGATCTACAAACAAAAATTACAAAATGATGTCGACATTTTTAGTAACTTTATACAAGGTAACTTGTGGAAACGTAAAGTTGAAAATATGAAAGAAAAAGAAGTTTTGCCACTTTTCCTATTTTTCGACGATTTTGAAACTGGTAACGCTTTAGGCAGTCATGCTGGTGATAATAAGCTAACGGGTGTTTATTTAAACATTCCATGTTTTCCTCCTGAATATCAATCAACTTTAAGTTCCAGATATCATTCGCTGCTCTTCTTTTCTAATGACCGAAAGGAATTCGGAAATGCCACAATTTTTCGAATTTTAATAGACGAGTTACGTTTTCTTCCAAATGAAGGAATATAAATTAATATCTCTCAAGGAACATTTGTGCTTTACTTTAAACTTGGACTGATTATCGGGGATAATCTCGGACTTCATTCAATACTTGGCTTCGTTGAAAGTTTTAATAGCCAAAACTTATGGCTCTTTCGTCTTTATTCATTTTACAAAATAGCCAATATTCTTGCCTATTTTGTAAAATGAATAAAGACGAAAGAGCCATAAGTTCTATTGAGAATGAATCATTATTGAGAAATGTTCATACATATAATAATGATGTAAAACATAATAATGTTGCTTTTACCGCGCGAAATTAAAAAAGAATGTGTCTTCAATGCTCTTGAAGATTTCCATGCGACTGATAATTTATCAATAGATATTATGCATGATCTGTTCGAGGGAGTATGTGTTTTAGATATGGCCGATATCATAAAATATTTCACTAAAGTCGCAAATTTCTTTATACTCGATTTTATCTAAATTTTCGCTTATTGAGCTATGATTTTGGTCCTATAGAAGGAAGTAATCGTCCATCTACTATTTCTCTTGACAGACTGAATAAGAATTCTATTAAAATGTCAGCAGCGGAGATGTGGACTTTTGTACGTCATTTTGGTTTATTATATGCGGTGACTTTATACCTGAAAAAGATCCTGTTTGGCAGTTTCATTTATTGTTACATCAAATAATCGATCTTGTACTTCAATTCAATCAGAATGTGTGCTGCACTTTTACAAGTATTAATTGAAGAACACAACAATATGTATGTGCAATTATTTAAAATGAAATTAAAACCGAAAGCATCACGTGATACATTATCCAAGAATAATGAAAGCATGTGGTCCTTTAGTGCATCTGTGGTGTATGAAATTCGAGGCTAAACACAAAGAATCAAAAGCAACTGCCACTAGCTCAAATTTAAAAATAAATATAGGCACAACGATAGCCTTCAAACACCAATTAAAGTTAGCAAGTGCACTCTTATCTGGGACAATATTTTCGGATATTGTTGAAGTAGGTTCAGGTGATTATTCTTCTTTTAAAGAACTATTTCTCGAGATTAAGGATGATTTACCGTTAGATTCAAAAGTATATTTTGTGAAATGGATAAAAAAGTATGGCATATTGTATAAACCTGGTATGATTATAACCATTAGCGAAGATGACGGAATAACTAGTTTTGGTTTAATAAAATATTTGATATTCGAAAACGGACATTTAAGTTTTATTTATCGAGAATTAGAAACAATATTTATCAATCATTTTTATGCGTATGAAACATGTAATTATTATAATTTGTATCACATCATACAACATCAAAGCTTGTTAAATCATATACCGAGTCATGTGACAAAAATGTATGGCAGACAGTTTATTGTCACGCGATGTATGCTATAAGGAAAATATACAATATAAATTGTTATAAATCAAATAATGTTTTTTTCTGGATATTATGTGTTCAAAAAACAAAAATTGCAATTTGATAAAACTTGACTTTTTAGCTCATGAATACATATATATTTTCGTGTATGTGTGTGCATTAAAAAAATCAAGTTTTTAAAATTTTAATAAGATCAGCTAATTTTATGTTTCCATCGTACTTGAATGTATATATAAAAGTATCTAACATCAAATTTTTTAATTATTAAAAATAATAAGTATAATTTCCGGAAGGTACCCTCGTATGTATAATATAGGTTATCCCCTCTAAAACTCCGCAACTACTCGTGCTATTCATATTGCTCGTCTGAAAATTGAGAGTCTTAAGATACATTAAGGGAATCCTAAAACCTCTGTATTACCGACTAAATCGTAATTTTTGTTTAACAAATACTTTTTTCTCTTTCACAGATTCGAAAATTCTTTTCCAGAATTAAAGTGTACACATTAATACGTGTTTGTAAGATGGAATTTATGCCGAAAACATCAAAAAATTTCGAAATTGAAATCTTAAGAAAAATTTTTTATCGTTCTCGGCATAAACTCCACTTTACAAACACGTATTAATGTGTACACTTTAATTCTGGAAAAGAATTTTCGAATCTGTGAAAGAGAAAAAAGTATTTGTTATACAAAAATTACGATTTAGTCGGTAATACAGAGGGCTTTAGGATCCTCTTAAGGCTTCTTCAACCATATACAGCACGGTTTTTCTAACCATATTTTCTTGCAGGTATCAATTAAATAATATGACTATTTCAACCATATTCTCTTACAGGTATTCATTATATGGTATGATTATTCTCTCTAATCATATTCTCTTGTAAGTATTGATTATATAGTATGGCTATTCCAACCATACTGTACTATATAATACATATAGTGGGATCATACTGTACATGTCCAACTAGTAATACCTACGGTACAATTACACTATTGTGACAATTCATATAAATTAGAAAAATTTAGGAATTTCAATTTAAACTGATGAATATGCTATCATTAAGAAAGTTAGGATATCTATAATTGTATAGTTGCAATATTAATACAGTATGGCTATATTAAGTATATGATATGACTGAATTAACCATATTTATGGCTAATATTTCTAATCTTTTCTCTCCGTGTATATTAAACTATTATAAAAATATTTTATTCAGACGCGCGAGATACACATTATGAATAAGATTGTATTCTGATTAATTTAATTAATGATTTATTCAACTGGCAAAATTGTTTCCAATTAATTTTTAATTATGTAAATCACTGTCCTCTCCATCTTTTTTCCCACGCGCCAAATAATAAAAAAATTAACAATCCTATCCTGTAATCAATCAAATATAAGTCATCACTCGATAAATTAACTCACTCGATAAAACATGGACGTAGTCAGGATTTTATTTGTCTGGGGAAAGAGCCAAATTAGAGTTGAGACTTTTGAACTCGGAAAGGAGAGGATAGTCAAGTGATATGAACTATTGTTTTGTTTTATATTATTTTTAATTAAATACTAGCAGGTAAATCGCGAAGCACACGTATTTAATTTACTAATTTACTTTATTTTTTTTAAAGTCAAACTGGAAAAACTTAACACTATTATAGCTTTTTTGGACCTAAATAACTTCTGAACGGTTCGAGATAGAGGATTGAAGTTTATAGGGATGCAAATAGCATCATAAAATCTATCATTTAATACCAAAAACGCCCATTTTAACATCCCGGGGGACGGGGGGGGGGAAGATGGACGGAAAAATCTTAAATTGCACGTGGGGTCGAGTGAGGGTTCGTTTGAAAGGGCCCGCGCAAAGTCTTTTTCACATTCTCGCCGTGAGCCCTCCGCTACTGCGAAATCTCAATGTTTAAATAATCATAACTCTGCGAAAAAAAATCGTAGAGACCTGAGACACCACGCGTTGTTCTCGTCTTGGAAGGCCCTTTCAAACGAGCCCTCATTCGACTCCACGTGCAATTTAAGATTTTTCCGTCCCTCTTCCCCCCCCCCGCCCCGGAGGTGTTAAAATGGGCGTTTTTGATATTAAATGATAGATTTTATGATGCTATTTGCATCTCTATAAACTTCAATCCTCTATTTCGAACCGTTCAAAAGTTATTTAGGTGTCTCGATACTTTTTCCTCACCCTGTCTCTACATATATATCTTTCTATAACTTTCAATTTTTTTTTTTTCAAAATTAATTTCTTGTCAATATTCATTAGAAAAAGATAAACAGTAAGTTAAATTTAAATTAAAATTAATCTTACATTTTGGTAGAACCGAGCCAAGAATTGATCTAATAATTCGCTAAAAAAATCAATCGAAAGTTTTCGAACTACAATAAAGACGATTGCATTCTTACGTGACTTCCAGCTGACGAGTCGACTTTCTCCACTCGCATCCCTGTCCTTCGCGATGCGATCCATCATCCTGACGGCCGTTTCGCAGAACCGCTCGCTCCAGTATCTTATAGAGAGCCGCCCAGTCCTCGACTTGCAGCCACTTGTTCGTGATGACCTTCTGATTCTTGATCTCCACCGTTCTTTCCTGCACGGTGACCACGGCAGTCGCCAGACAATCGTTCGGGGCCTGCGGACACGTTGCGATACGATATAAGCAATAAGCTCTGTACAAATCGCTGCGTGTTCGTTCCAGAAAATTAATGAGACGCTCCGGTGACTCGCGATAATTAAAACGCGCGAATTGTCGTGACACTATCTCTTATCTTCGACCGTTCAAAGCATGAATCGTACGTTCTATCATTCACTTATTGCAGGCGATATTTCTCGACGATTTGGAGATAAGGAGATGAGAGGAAAACCACTCCATATCGTAACACCATTTCCTACTTTCGACCGTTCAAAGCGTGAATCGTACGTTCTATCGTTCACTTATTGCAGGCGATATTTCTCGGTTTTTGGAGATAAGGAAATAAGAGGAAAACCACTCCATATCGCTCAGCTTTCGCAACAGATGTTTCACAAGTACGTTCGTGCGTACGCCGCCTGCCTCTTGCGCGCGCGCGCACATTTGACAACCAGCTGTTGACAGCTGCTGCACGCGGTACCTTGATCACCTCCAGATACTGGCCGTCCCGGAACATGTCGCGCTCGGCACACTAGGGTCCGGAGCGTTACGCCTCCACCGCCTCGCGTGGTGGCGCGATGTAGTAATCAAGGACGTCTCCCACGAGTCCCACGACTCCCACGGCCGACGACGAGCTGACGTCTACAGTCTACGCTACGCGCGAACTCGCCTCGATCCGCGGCGCACGCTCGCGGCTCGTCCTCGCCGGGCGAGCGGCGGCGCGGATTTGGAAATTGGAGTGCACGGATCCGACAGATTCGACCGCGCTCCTTTGCTCGCTCGCGAACGTGAAGTCACGTCTTTTTTTACATTCATATTACCGTAACACAAATTTCTCGAAACGTTTCATTCGATCGTGCCTCCCAGGTAGAACACAGAGCCACAATTAGGTCATAAATGATATCACGTATATACATAATGTCATTTGATATTTAAAAATGACAAATGAGATCATCGTTATTGGCTGCGTACGGAAACGTCGCTCGGATGTCTCCGATGCCTCGGATTTATTATTTGTCCTCGTTCAATATTTAATGCTAAAGAAGGACAGATCACGAATCCGAGACATCGGAGACATCCAAGCGACGTTTTCGAATGCAGCCATTGTTTTGCTGGAATGCTACGTCGAGATTAATTGAGCAAACAATTATCATTTAAAAAACATAGATCGAATTTCTGCATTTGTTTTTGTAAATATACCCGTATTGCAGATTACAAATTTTAGGCAAGATTTTGTCATATAATTTAATAAAAGTTGTTCTATCGAAGAGCAGGTAGAACACAGAGTCATAATTAAATCATAATGCTATCGTACCCAGACAGCACACAATATTTATAAAATATTTACAAAATATTTATAAATATTTATAAGATTTATTTTAAATATTTTCGTGGTCTCTCTTAGATTGCACAGATTATAAACATTTATTATAAATATTATGAAATATTTATTGTAAATGGTATAGTAAATGCTATGAAAATACTTAATGAGACATTATAATCCAAGTAAAAAATACTTATTAGAAATATTTATTTATATTTATCGTAAATATTACATAAAATATCTCGTCTATATTTTAATATTTCAAATAAAGCTCTATATAAAATATGTATGTAATATTTATACAACATTTAAAAAAATGAATATTAATAAATATTTATCATAAATATTCTGTGCCCTGAGTAGGACGTCCTTTGTCACTCAAAAATGAATAATTACAATATAAGTAACAAATAATTGATCATGATAGAAACATTCTGCGAAAATTGAGCCAATTGCCACAATTATCAGGTGATCCTTACCTATAAGTTTTTACGCTCGACGAGGAAAGAAAGAGATCAATGCCTCCGGATAACTCGCGCATATTATTCAGCGTTATCAGTTCGCGAAAGAAAGTTAAGCTCGAAGGAGAAAGACATCTTTTCTTTTATCTCATTAGAAACTTGCAGAAAGACATCTATGATGCAACGGAAACGTTCATGGCGATTAGCGCTTCGATAATTTATTATCACTCCGCTTTGTAAAAGCAAAATCAAAGCTCAAGTAAAATATATTATACAAAGAAGTCAATAAATAATATAAAGACATTATCATGACCTTATTTGATCGTCTCCAGTGTGACAGGGAAATGGAATTAAGTGCACATGTGCGTCTTTTTGTGAAAGCAATTTTTAGAAAGAAATCCGTCGTTATCATATTGCAATTACAATATATAATAAAATTGTTAAATTTACAGAATAAAGCAACTTACAAGCTTAAACTGATGATTCTTCTTAAAGGAGCTCTGTATGGATTTCCGATAAACTGATGATTATGTCATTCATATTCGAGAGGAAAATTTCACCAATTTAGCGAGCAGTTATGTAATCGCCGTATTCGTAATTCCTTCTGAATTCCTTCAAGGATTGTTCATCCCAACTGCACTTCTCTATTGTTTTCTTTTTTTTTCTCTAGTCTCTCTCTTTCTATCCGATACCTCAGTGCCAAGTGCACCTAGTGACCTGGGTGTACCCCAATGGCTTTCGGAGTACATTTTACGTTTCGCTTTCAGGCGCAGACGGTGAGGTGAAAAGTGCGGATCTTGCATAAATTGAATTGCGGGAAATTTAACGTATTTGATAACTATATAATCGAACATCAGTTGCTTTCCATTTTCACATAAGTGATACTGAGTCGTAAAGTTATGTGATTATTTTATATTCAGATTATGATGTCACTGCTTGCTTACTTTGATAACAAAATATTCGCATCAACACAGTTTATAACCTCACTTTTAATATGACTCGCTAACAAGACTCGCTCAGTAAAGGAGTAAAGCGTACGGTCTCTCAAGTTCGTACAGGCTAAAATTCAATTTTATCTCACTTGTCAGAATGAAAAGGAACGTGCATTCAACTGAGAAGTACGGTCTCTCAAGTTCGTACAGGCTGTAGGTAAAAATTCAATTTTATCTCACTTGTCAGAATGAAAAGGAACGTGCATTCAACTGAGTTATGACATCACGAACAAGAATTAGTTTAGTGTAAATGGAAAGCAACTAAAAATAATCACGCGAGGTCAGCGAGAGACAGCCGAAAAGGTATTAGAAAAAATTAAGAAAATTATTATG